GTTAAGGGTCGAGTCATCAAGTCAACCGCTTGGCTGGATTATTCCATAAGGCGAGCTAAGTTCCAACAGTTATAATGAAAGCATCAAAAATGTAAATTAATCAAAGGGAATCCTAAGAAGAGAAGTACCTTGGCAATCAAACGCCCAGTCGATTTTCTCGCGAAATCTCTGGTAGCAGTTTGAAGTGGGGCAGCTATTATTCATAAATCTGAACACGGTGCAAAAAAAAACTCTGTCGTTTTGTTCTGAAAGTTTGATCTTATCTAATTCATGCTCATGATCACTTCAGTGGAATATGCGAAAATGATGATCGATATCTTCAGAGAGAATCGCTAGAAACACCTATTACACATCGTCTACTGCAGTTGCAAACAACATATTGATGAACAAAAACATCTCCATTACGAGACGGACTTGATTCTAGCAATTTGCACTCGGCTAGAGTTTTTCTGATTCAGAAGATGTTCATGATAAAGTTTCCACTAGCGACTGCGAGATAAATAATATGAACGCAAAAGTCGCGGTAAAAGAGACCCACTTCGTATAAATGCTTAGCTTAGCAAATTCGGAGGTTCGATGGAGTCAAATAAAGGGTTTCTAAATTGAAGTCTACACGAAAAGATATCTGAAATATTTATTGGAGACAAAAAACTATTGGAAAATAACTGAAAATCAATCTTGCAGTGTAACTTCCTCTGACGATGGCGTTGTAGTAGTCTCTTTCGTAGATTTCGACGATTCGGGCGTAGTTGAAGTTGTACTTGTGGACTCGTTGGTTGATTCCGTCTCTTCCGTTGAGCTTGGGGATTCGGTGGTGGTTGACTTATGCTTTTTGTGCTTCTTTTCTTCGCTGGAGTCAGAAGAATCAGAGGATGAACTGCTTTTGTCATGTTTCTTATGATCCTAAAATAATAAAGATCCTGAGAATTCCAAGAAAGAAGTTTTGAATAGAAGCACAATAGCACTGCATAAATAGAAGAGATTATAATGGATGATAACGATCATTACCTTATGTTTTTTCTCCTCGCCTGATTCGGAATCGCTTCCGCTGCTCTTTTTCGCGATAGCGACTACCAGAAGGGCAACTGCTAAAATTAAAACGACCTTCATGATTGTTGCCGAACATGATTACGATGTGGTTTTATACTCCCACTGTTTGCTTATCTATTACCATCGCCCCTCTGACCCGCCCCATTGTTCAAGCTTCCCTCCCCACTGCCAGAGTGAACCACGTCACGCGTGATCATTTTGATGTCTTCCTCTATTCTCGTGTATTTGATCAGTAGTCCGACAACTACGATGGTTTTTGACTTTTGCTCTTGTAGCAATCATGAAGGAAGGAAAAACATCGCAGGAAAAAGAAAACATTATTGTTTTGAATTGGTCACGATCTTGTCCAATGCATCATGATACTTTTTTCAGTTGTTTATGTGAAACGTGAGAATAGCAAGAGCCATCTGCGACCTCGATGAACGATGTTGATATTGGTCTTCACCAATAGTCGATCGCCTTTTAAGGACCATCTAGAAGACGAATTTCGTTTCCTCTGAGGGTGACACATAAATTTACATCGAATTTAACGTTTATCATCAACATTTTATGAGCACTCCAGTGAACATAGGATTGATCCCTGTCGCTAGCGCACATCGTAGTATCCTCCTTCCATGATCTACCCTTCCCTTAATTCTCATCCTTTTATTACTAGGAAGTACAAATGGAGTAAGCGCTGGGATTGGTGTAATCCATGCAGTGGCATTCGACGTACATCGACCCAAATGTTTGTTTTACAGTGACCCTGCTGATGCCTAGATTGGGAACAGAGCGACGCAGTTAGCGCAGTCATAGCGTATCATTTGTACGACTGTGCCTTACTTGATATTAGAAAAGTTTGGCTTTGATAACGAAAGCGGATCTCAGACGGTGTCGAATTATGCTTACTATATCGACAAACAGCTCATATGTTTATCAGTGCTACATAAGTAACACTCAGCTTGTGCACAGTGCAGGCAAAAGTGCAGTGCTCAAAGGCACAGTTCACGATACTTTTGAGTAATCCAGATTATGATGAAAAATGGAAGACAAGATCGAAATTAGTGCGATCAAAGTGAAGAAACTGCGTGAATTAGTGTTTTCAAAGTGAAAAGATGATTCGAAAAACCGTTAAAACAAGGCTGGACGAGAATGAGACCAGAAAAATGAAGAAGAGTGGGGCGTTCGGACGAGCTATACAATGTGTCTCACTGCGTGCGTATGGGTCCTGGTGCGAATAACAGACTATGGTAAGCAAAATTCATTCACTTATAAAACGAATAGTTGCAATCTGTATTGTCTCGACACTCGTCTAACGTGAGGTCGATCGTGTGGCGTTAAAGCCAATTACGGCAGCAACAGGGCTAAGCGTCGAGATTGTGGGAGTAAGAGGGTCCCTACTACCACCCATGGGGGGCGCTGAGTATTCCTAAAGGAAGAGCTCAGTAACCTTTTTACGTGATCCGCGCCTTCAGAGGAATAAGCGCTCCAAGTGTAGTTGTAAAGCTAGAAGGCTCTCACCTTCAGAAATTCTGGTGACTACAACCAGTTGCTGCTGTATGAGAGTTTTACAAGTTGTTGCTTAGTAGTGCGGATAAAGCTTAAACCATCCTTTCTGTTCTTTCCTGCCGTCGTTCCCGAAAAACTATCAACGAGCCCTGCTTTTCCATTCACCTGTATGATCATTCACATGTATGATAGGTACAAATTAAAAAATCTAAATTTGTGGAGGCCTTTGGAGATTTTGCCAAAATTGTATAATTGCTCAAAAAATGAGTACGAAATAGAATCAAGAATAATCGCATGCTCTTGTTCAGTATTCACTTAATTAACTAGCTGCACTTTCACGAAGACGTGACTTACTGAAAATTACGGACCTTTTCAAGGATTTATGATTGAACGCCCAGTCGCACACCTCTTGGAATTGGTCATCGTCAATTGTTCTAATTCACAGTGTTATTGTTCAGTAGAGAGCTCACAATTTCAGTTTTTCGCACTGCTTTAAGCAAGAACTGCTGTAGAACTCTAATCTCTATAGGAACAAGTATAATGCTCCATTTTTGGGAAGAATGTTGGCTTATTGATCAGTTCTTCCTGGTACTCAACGATCACTTAATTCGGCGAATTGTGTTTTGCTTCCGCGACGCCGACTTTTTGGGTATCAGTGAACTCGGCTATCCTTCAGCTCCTGTTGACCTTTCCCTACGTCTGTTACACAAAACAGGTTACCTTGATGTTGCAGGCTTTTTTCCCTGAGATCGCAATAATTCTTGAATGTGTTTGTATGATAATAATTTGGGACAATGGATATCTGTGTATTACTTCGGGTAATCTTTGGTACACGATACGCTTCTGCATTCCCTTACGCAAGAAGGAAGGCTTTAAGAATAAAAATCGAACGCTCGCGGTAAAATCACGGCAGTAGAAGAGATGATCAAGGTATAAGCCAGTCAGTCGAAAAGAGGAAAGGTAGAATTTGGGTTTTGTTCAGTGTTTAGAAATTTCATTTCCGTTGTTTTTCCTTGTGTGATAATAAGCAATAGCTGCGGTGAAAACAGCAGTGAAAAAAATAGTCAAAAAGTAATACACGCCTATGTTTCCAATAGAAAAAAAGTTCTGAATATATACTGAAAAATAGCAGAGCTCTGCGAATTTTCTAAAAAGCATAAGAGCATCGACTTGAAGACATAGACAGAATTGGAAGTTTGTTGCATCCAATAAGCTTTTTCTTTGATCAGCTCCAGCCATTGATGATGTCCAAAGTGTGGGTATAAGCCTCACTACTAAAGCTACAAAAATGAAAAATGTACCAGCACTTACGCGAAGAAAGGCTCATTCTCTGAGAAGATGAAAAAATTTCAGTTTATCGAGTTCAAGTTCATATCGGTTGACTAGAAGCTGAGACCCTAAATCTTGATCGTTAAAATCATAGACTTCAACGAAGTTGGAACTCAACCTTGAAGACATAGCGACATTAAGAGCGGTATGCTGGCTATTGGGACGATTTCCGACCCCCGTCTTCAGACTCGAACTTCATGCCTCGACTGCTGTTCATAGATTCAGAGATAGTGGAAAGTAAATACTGACTTTCCAACACTTCTGACCAGAGGGTA